AATTCAGTAAATATTGATGCATCAATTATTTGTGAGAAATTTATTAATAAGTATCAAGGGCTTTTTGATATTTCTTATACACAATATAAAATATAGTACAAAGCAATCTGAAAATTTTTTTTTTTTTTACCTCCCTCTGCATCTTGAAGGTCCTTAGACACCTTTGGATCTTTCACATCTCTTAAAGGCCAGAGTTTTCATTTCTGCAAAGATCATTGAACGTGTGTAGCGTTCTTTTTAGTTACTGTACTGGTGAGATAACTCATGCTTCGTTAAGTACATTATATAATTAATGTCTCAGATACCTAGTGCTGTGATGTAGGACCTACATTTAGATCCACAGTTCTCTAACTTCACATGACCCACAAGCTGGATCATCCTTTTTTATATCTTAATATCTTGGTTCTAGTGCTGGGTTTTCTCAATGCTAGGTCATTTATTGACAGATTGTGCCTTATCTGGTTGTCCTCGGCTCTGTAGCTATGCCAGCAGACTGCAACTTGTATGAATCTTGTATGAATTTTGTTCTTTCTCTTTTAATAGAAATCCTCTGGAAATCGTATCCAGTTGTGGTTCTGGCAGAGCGTTTGTCACCTAGTAGAACTCAAACTTGCGACCTTGCGATTGTAATCCAAGAGTGCTAACCACTGTGCTATCGACCCACAGGTCAATCTAAAAGTTTTAAATTTAATCGTATTGATCAACTTACTGTACATTGTTATGATAATGCTATTGCAGAAAAAAAAGAAAAATAAAAAATAAAAGAAATAATATTAATTGAAATTAAGGAATAACATCTTCATTCTATGCAAGATTATTTAGAAATTTTAAATATAATACTTAAATATAATAAAAAAACAAATCATTTAAATAATTATATTGCTCCAGTAATTGCAGATTGGCCAGGACAATTATTTATTAGAAGAGCTATTACTCATTTGCATAAAAATGATTTGAATTCACAAATTTCATCTGGAGTAATTTCATTTGTTCCTATTTTTAGACCATTATATGTTAGTCTTAATAGCAGAGAGCAAGTTATAAAAATTTATTATAGCTTCTTTAAAAAATTATTTCATAGTATATTTGGATTACATAAAAAATTTGCTAAGAAACTAAGACCATGAAGAATAAATTTATTTTTGGAAATAGCATATAGTGCATAGATTAAAATTAGAAATTTAATAATAGAAAAATTTGGAGCTTTATACAAATTTACTAAATATCAAGCAATAATTGATCTTTTAGATAATATTATTCTAGCAGTTCTTGATACATATGCTGTATTATTTTGATCAGAATCATTTGATGAATATTTGAAACAATTTTTCATATCTGAACTTTTGCTTTAAGATGGAAACGTAAAAATTACAACAAAGCTCTATTAGCATTTTTATCAAATATATTTTATTGAGAACAAAATAATCATTCTATAAAAAAGCAATTAAGCTTTTTTAGTTAATTTTAATGATTATTGGATTAAAAATATTTATAGCAGAATTAGAGAATTAACAATATGCAAAGATAATGCAAATGATATTAAAAAACAAGCATATTTATTAGATATTTTAAAATTTAATAATTATTATTAATTTTAACATATATAAATACTAAATAATTATACTTATTATTAGATGCTAATAAACATTCTGTATTTAAAGAAGCATTTATAAATACTAAACATTATATATATTCATTATCTAAATTAGATTTTTTAACTAACCAAACATGTTTATTTTTACTTCAACAATTTCAAATAGTTTTTGTAGAATATCAAAAAAATTAAAAGCTGATACTACATTATCTACAACAAAACCAAAACCAAAATCAAAAAAAGATAAAAAAGATTCAAATATTGAATTTATTACTATGGATGATATAGATGAAAGAGTACTACTAACAGGATATCATACTACATATCTACCTTTTTTAATGGTTGTGATTATTATTATAAACCATTTGAGCAAGATTCTAATAGAACAATTTTGATATGTGGTCATGGATATTATTAGAATTGTTATAATCAAATAGAATTTAAATGCAAACATTGTATACAATATTTTAAAGAAGGAATATAGAATAATGTAAATGCATTTGTAAAATGTTTAGAAGCAGAAGATAAAGATAAACTTACTAAAGAAGATTTAGAAGATGAAGATGAAAATGAAAATGAAGAAGATGATACAAATATTTTAATAAAGATTTTAAAAATATTAAAATTAATGAAAAAGAAAATTTGAATTAGATTTACAAAATGCAATTAGTAAAATAAACACTTGGTAATTTATTTTTTTAATATAGAATTGTTATAAATATTCTGTATTTTGATATTATAGTATGTTTTTAACTATATTTATTAATAAATAAAATATTTTTTATGGTGCTGGAAGTCTATACTCGACAATCACGTGATATGTTTCAATTTTGACACTGATGATCATTTTCACGTGATTGTAAATTTGACCAATAAAATAATCGATCGATTATCAATTTCTTTTATATGTAGATCTGTGGTAAAACGATGAAGTTTCCAACTTAATTATAAAGAGATCCAATATTATTTTCCTGGCGCAATGTTTATTAATAGTTCATATTTAAAGGAACACATCAAAAGTATAATTATAACTTAGAAAGCATTTAAGGTTTAAAGAATTTTTTTTTTGCGACAAAGTGATGCTTGGTTAAGTGAATCAGCTTCTAATACCATTGTAATTACATTAATCTATTATAGATGCGATTTGGTATGCTGTATTTGAAATATAATATTAGTAGGATTGTTAATGAATGATATACTCTGGTGTCATTTCAGGTTAAAAACTTGTTGAGTGGATTTGAAAACGTTTATAAGCTATCTTGGCAACTAGCGCAACTAATGCTCTTAACTCTTATCCCACGAAACTGGATTATATCCACTAAGAATTCTTTTAATATCATCACAGCCATTAGCATTTATGATCGTAACAATATTTATTTTTATATTGCATAAATTCTAAAATGATTCACAGGTAAATTCACCTCTACTCCCACGATGAAGTAAAATTTGAAGCAACCTAGAGAACCAAAGTAAATCAATTTAATATAAGTGGATTAACCAAATTTACTCCAACCAAACCAATTAACAATACTATGAATTAGTTTGAGATTGATGAAAAAATAAGCAATTGTTTTTATTTTAATCTATAGTTGATCCATTATTTTCTTTATATTTTCAGGCAAGCAACGATGTGATTTAAACTTATTAACGCCCAACTCAGCTATTCTACCTTCTAACCCTTTATAATATGCATCCATATACCTCCATGATTTTTGGACAAATTTACGAATAATTGATGTTGGAACACTATCAAGGGTCTCAGGAATTTGCCTTAGCAAGTCCTTAAAATTATAACTACATGACACTCTAAGTTCCTGCTTCATGTAACCCCAACACCGTTCAATAAAGTTACACTCACAATGGAACTTCGGGTATCATTCAAAAATATGCACTTTTTTTATACTAGCTTCTTCTAACATTGACTGTTGTTCACAGAAATCTGGTTGTAATGATATAATTCGTTATGCACAACAGTCAAATTCTTCAAAATCATCATCACTTTTCTTGGAACATCTTTTACACACCAAATTCACTTCTCTAACAGGCCAAATATTACGTTCTTTGAGCACTTGTTGAATGTCTTTTAGTAGTCCTCTTAATTCTGACACTGGATAATCATCTGGAAATACCATTTTCTAATCATATCTTTTCCCATACTCATCAATATACCAACCATCTCGCATTTTAGGTTGTACTCTTCCCGGGCCTTTATTCATTCTTGTTACAACTAACGCGTCTTCCGCCATAGCATTATGGTTTGTCGATTGATCAAAGCAGAAGACTCCTACACATCCGGGATGCAACACCTCAAATATAGGTATTGCTTTTTCCAAAAGCTATATTCATATAAAGTAAATAAAATAAAAAAATATTTAAATAATTGAATAATACCAAGAGAAAATAGGATTTTAATCATATAATTTATATGATTGAAGTTCTATTTGTTCTAGGTGTTCTGTTACTCAAATAATAAAACTTAAAAGAAGAAAAAAAAAAAAACCTGCTCTAACATATGCTCTGACTTCCAATACCCATCTTCCTGTACAGAACGCATAACGAAGGCTTCCTTATGTTTAATATGTGGATTTGCATGGAATTGTTCTTCTGACAGCTGCAGCAACCCGTGGCATAGGCACATAAATGCTGAAACCATTACGGAACGTCCTATATATTTTGACGTAAGACATCCTCATCTTTCCTGGTCCAAATTTTAAGCTGCCCGTCATTGGCATAAAAGTAACACTCATCATGTGTTACTTGTACCAATTCTTTTTTACCAGGCTCAAGTTCAGGATCTATAGCTATTTCCAGCATATTACCAACAAACTCTTTCATATACGCCTTATACCTTTCTAACCACTTCTTTCTATATTCTACTACATCAGGCCGTTCATGCCCATCATAATATATGCCTTTTTTTCTTTTATCATATTTATATCCTAACGCATACATATATATCTGACAAGTTTTTTCAGAAATTGTATCTTTTGTATGCTCTATTTGTAATAACAAAGTTCTTTCAATATACATCTTTAGGGCTTTATGGGAGCGTGACTCTGGAGATTGTTGTCGCAACCATGCTTGACATCTATTTAAAAAGACCTCATTATCAAGTAAGCTCATAACTTTTTTATGCTTTCCTTGATTATAAGAAAAAAGTTCTTCAGATTTGATAAAACAATCCCCCCATTTTCGAATACATCTTGCTGTATAATCACCTTTATTCTATACTGTTCGTGCAACCTGAAAACTAGCATTTATTTTACCTTGCCCATCCAATAACAACTGTATATACCGGCTTATACTTAGTAAACGAAGGTAATTATATATAGGCATATTACTCTTTGATGATTTTTTGATTAAGCATTGTTGATTAACCTTATCTAAATGCATGCGTAGGAGTGACTTAGGATCGACCAGTAGTAAAGAGCTTTGTATGGTTGAAGGAGATGGCTGTAATAACGATGTAACTTCAGCTGAAGTATCGAGTAATGTATTACTCAATGTTTCAGCTGAAGCATCGAGTAATGTATTACTTGGTGCTTCAGCTGAAACATCGAGTAATGTATTACTTGATGCTTCAGCTGAAACATCGAGTAATACATTACTCGATGCTTCAGTTTTGTCATTGAGTAATTTGTTACTCGATGCTACAGTACTAGCCAGCATATTACTTAATGTTGTATCAGATAATACATTATTTTCTTTCACATCTTTTTCCTGTCTTTTCTTTTGTCTCCAGATCGTCGTTCTCGAATGTTTAGTATATACCCTTTTCACTTGAGCATTAATGTTTTCATTTTCTTCTAATATAGATTCAACCTGCACATCGGTGACTTTATACTGTTCCTCTTGAGATGCAAAATGGCCTCTTTTTCTAGGTAATTGATTTATTTGTTGTCGTCTTTTTGAAATATGAGGCATTGTGAATTTATGAAATTAACAAAACAAGTTCAAAATTAATTGGCAAAACAAATTCAATGCGTAAGTTATATAGTAAATTATTCATTCTTGGTTTTATATATAGGATACTTATGATTCGTCTATTTGCTTTATCAAAATTCGATCATAAGAATTTAATAGATTTATTATGAAAAAAGGTATTACCGTTTATAATTTGCTGAGCTTTTATTGATTTATTGAAAATAAATTTATATTATATGATTAACTTATATGTCTAAGCACCTTTTTAATCTTAACATTTGCTTGAACGTTGTTGATGTTAATGTTAACAACAATGAGTGGAGAAGCATTAACTGATGCACTTTACAAGCACCAGCCTGATTTTATTGGATCTTAAACATAATGAATTTGGTATCAGATGGAAAAGTATTAGCAAAAGTGCAATAATACCGTTCTGATTTCTTTGAACCAGAAAAATATATTTGGGGCCTGAGGAAAAGCATAAGCGTGAAGTACCAGTAATGTTTGAAACTAGTTGCCATCATAAATTCATACTATTTATGATTAGCTTGTTATTTTTACAACCGGATTGTAAATTTTTTTGCACCAAACTATTTACCAAGGTTATTCTATACTCGAAATCGATAATTTAATTAAAATTATAATATGCAAAACCTGATTACTATACTTGTACAATGCTAAAAAGCAAATTTTTTATTCAGTAAATAAAAATTATACTCAAGTTAAAAAAAATGAATCGCACAATAAAACTGAAAACTTTTTTTTTGAACATTTATTGCAATGCTAATTTAGTTATTATCTATAAAATTTTTAAGGTCATATATAAATTATTATTAAATTCGATTGATCTACATCAGCCAATCATATGTCGATAAAGTGTTTCAATTTCGAATAAGCTTATTAACTTCAAAAGGCATCAACTTTTTATAGAAGCAATATTTCGAAAAACTAACCAGTAACTTTGTAGATCTTATTGTAATGAACAAAGTTACCGATCAGTTTTTTGAAATATTGCTTCTATAAAAAGTTGATGCTTTTTAAAGTTACTATGCTTTCGTGATCACATGATTGTCGAGTATAGACTTCCAGCACCATATTTAAATTTATAACATTATTTTCTATATAATTAGTCTTTAATCAATATATAATAAAATCTTTATCTATCTAATTTAATATAATTTGAATCTAAATATTTAGATCTTAATCTACTACTGATAATTAATAGTTATCTGGTAGAATGTAGATGATATTGGATTAGCGTCATTTAATAACTATTTGTTAGCTCAGATTATGCTGCTTCATAGCATGATTTGAGTTAATCAAATGGCTATTAAATAATACTAACACAATTTTTGTTGACTATCCATTATTCTAAAATTTTCTAAGAAAAGATATGCGTATATATTGATAATAGATATGTGTTATACCTTATATTTATTTTTTTTAAGGCATGCCTATAACTACTGTATACACTCTAATTCTACCTGATAATGATATTATTCGGGAGTATTCATTAATCATATTATTTATATTAATCTATAACATCAAATTCAGAAAAATAAATAGAACAGAAAAGAGAAATAGATATTCATTTAAAAAGTCTTGATAATTAAAAAATATAAAACAAAAGTTTTTAAAAATTTAAGTATTATAATTTGTTTTTATTAAAGTGTAATAATCTTATTAATATTTTATTAAGAACATAAGCATGAAGATGATTCAGCAATTGCAATTTATAGAATAACTAAAAACCCAAAAGATGTCACAATAATTTCAAAACTATAAATATCTGATGTTTGAGTAAATGATTAATCAGTTCTTAAAAATAATCTAATAATAATGCTATAATAGTTGTGCACTATCTTAATACTAAATAATTGCATTAAGTATATTGACTCAGAAATATTAAAGGTTATTTGAATCTACTATATATTTTAATTACAAATTTTAAATTTATATTAGTCAAGTAATATTTTAAAAGTAATACTTTAAAAGTAACACTTAAAAACAAATTACAAAAGCTAACTTAGCAATTTCAATTATTATTCAATCACTTTTTTTATATTTACACTATATTATCTTGTTGAATTATTATCTTTCACTTAAGCAACATTCAGATTTTTCTTTTACAAATACTAAAATAAAAAAAGCTCCAACTCTTTACTAAATTTTAATTACCATTCAATCGCTTTTTTTTAATACTTAAAAGTCTATACACCCTTAAGACAAAGCTTTACCCATTTTGTTATAAATTATAATATGAAATCAATAAAAATTTAATAATTGATGATATAGCATATTCTATTCTAACTCTCTTAAAACAACTCAAGCACCTAGTTATATACATACTATATATTATTCGAATCTCTTTTGTAATTACTTGTCATTTTGATTATAAAAGCTATATTATTAGCTGTTAAAATAACACTTTTAAAATAAAAGCAAAAAATTTTACAAACCTATTTAGCTATATATTATTAAGCTATTAGCATAAATGTGGTATTAGTAAAAACCTTTCAGAAATGTGATTATATAGGATTAAACCTGCTAAATACTAGTAAAGAAAAAGACAAACATATTTAGAAAATTATTTAATCATAGGTAACATGCTTAGTCACTTGTTATATGGATGATTGCATTTTTATATAGGGGTACTTTAAAACTAATATAAATAATTG